ATAGCACATCAAAGCTCATGCTGCCCTCCAGGCTCCTTCATTATCACAGGTACCTGTTACACATTTCAGAGTTTGTGCTGGGACCCTACCACTTCTCTTCCCCTACCCTAAATTCCCTCCAATTCACTGACTTCCCTCTCCCCAGGTACTCATTCTCCTTATAATTACCCTGCTCTTCTTGATATGCACCCCAACAGACTTTCTCTAGTCTCTCTGCCCTGATATTCTCACCTTTCTCGCAGAGCCCTGGCCATATCCAATCTGTTATGTTCAGTTTACTTTTCTTCTCTGCTCTAGACTCTTCCAAATTCCTCTATTTGCTCTCTTATTGCTACAATAGAAACCTTCCCCTTAACCATACCATGGAGCAGCCATGTCATCAGTTTATACAGTTTCCAAGTTAGAATGTCTATGAGGAAATCTCTGTGTTCCCCTGTTGAAAATATAGTTTACAGTAGCTTACCTGATTTGAAAATGTGCGAACATCAAAAAAAGCTATAATGGAGCCATATTCGCTGGACATCATGCATGCAGAGAGTGTGAGGTTATCGCAGCTCAGTGCCAGGTGATGTACTGGGAACTTCATAGGAACATTCATGCCCTGGATTGTGTCAACTATCAAACAGAAAAGACAAAGCAGAAAAAGCATGTAATAGGCACATAGTCATAATCCTTTATCCAAGTCAATAGGAAACAGTTTTTTCATCTATATAAACATATACCTGTTGGGAACAGATAAAAGAGTTTGTCTTAAGTAATGCCATTCTGACTCCATTTTACCTACAGAGTGAAATAAAGTTCAAGTTTCCAGGGCCTGGTAGGGCTGGGGACTTTAGAACTGACCAACTTCCTCTCTAAGCTACAACAGTTACTCAAAACATAATGCCTGTTCCTAACAACAGAAAGAACAGATAAGTTGACTGGTTAGACAAAAACACTTCCATTCAATATCAGCTGACAATGATGGAAACACTTGGGAACGTCTCTAATCCTCGAGTTCTGATTGGTGAAAATTGTAACTGTAACTTGGCCCAGGTGCTTGTGGTTTTTATACTTATAAACTGTGCTTCAGCTCCTACCAGGAAAAATAAGGCTCCCGAGTACTTGTCAGGTGGCCCTGATGGATCCTTATATGATAGAAATAATAAAAGATTTGCTATTTCACAAGCCTACTGGAGTATTCTCTCCAATTTCTCCTGACAAAAAAAACAGACACAGTGTGACTTAAATACCTAGTATCGGAACTAATCTTAAGTCTCTTCTTAAGATTAGTTAATGGTAGGTAATGGTGCATTAAATAGCCCAAGACTCTTCTGATTGCCCTTGCTGAAAATGCTTTTGCTACAGTGCCCCACATACACATTTCCATCTGTGAGGTGGTTATGCCTTCTCCTAGACAGCCAGAGGCCAAGTTCAACTGAGCAAAAGAAATGCATGGCACAAAAGTAACTTCTTCCCTCTCATCTTAGAGGAACACAGAAGCAACAGCACAGAGAGCTGAAAGAAAAATCAGAAAGGCTTTTGGCACACCATCTGGAAGGAATTTTGTCCCCTGCAAGGCAATCTTAAGGCCAAAAGAAATTTTAATTTTCACATTAGAATTGTGTCTTGGGAAGGAAATACATTGATGAGCGTGCCACCACAGCCCTGTCTCTGCTATGCAATATAAATCAAAGTACTTACCAATTTTATTGGGATCATCTCCAGGTTTGTTTTGGATAAGAAGGCTTTTAGTAGGAAAAACATACAGGCCATTGGTGCCCCCAGCAAAGAGCATCCCATACTTATTGGATATGGCAAGCACGCTCGATCGCTCCTTGGGCAGCTCTTCAGGAGAGTCAAAGATCCTCACTTTCTTCAGTGCTCTAAACTGAAAGTCCTGTTTTGAAGGATGAAACAAGATCAATTTTCAGGAATGAAGAAATTAAATCATGCTTATAATTATACCCCATAAACACAATTTCAGTATAACAAATATACTTATTACATTGAGGCCAACAATTTGCCTGTTTTTAGATTCTGTATTTTGGTGGTGAATGGCGTAATACACATTAACATTTGTTCAAAGAAATAAATAAAAAGGACTGGAAAGATGGCTCCATGGTTAAGAGCACTGATTGCTCTTCCAAAGGATCTGGGTTCAATTCCCAGCACACACATGGTAGTTCACAACTGTCTATAATTCCAATTCCTGGGGACCCAATACCCTCATACTTTGTTAATTTGTAATCCTTTTGTTAAGACTCCTCCCCCCCTCACCTTTCCATAGCCTCCACCACAGGCACTCTAAACCTATCTACAAGTTAGGGTTCTAGGGAAAAGAAAAAAAAAAAAACCTACAAGAGAAAACTTATTTCTGTAGAGATATGCACATTCCAAAATGGGTGGTTAGCATGCCCAGACATACTAATTTCCGTGCAGTCAATGTTTAATACATAATTACTTAAAAATAAACTGAAATACTCTCAACCCCAGATGCCTATGGTGGGCAAAAAGTTCACCCAATTTTCCCCACGGGGCTACACTATACACACACTATATACACTACAGGTTCATAAAGGAACAACTCATCTATCTATTTGTGATTACCATCCTAATAGTCATGACTGTACTACTCGGTCTTGGTGGCCTTTATGTGGAGGGCCAGTGTGAAAAGCACATCTGAGGAACATGACACATGCCATTAGGGGGCTCAGCACAGGAGCGCAAGCTCACAGCTCAAGAAAGTGCCACTGTTTCTAAGCATGTTCTGAGCCACACTTTAGTGATCCACTGTTCATACAAATTTCTAATGCCTTCCTGCAATCCCTCATTTCCAGCTGTCTGCGGTTCTCTGAGTTTTCATTCTTCCAGATGATATAAACCAACTATTAACACTGTGTGCAGAAGGTGGGGGTGGGGGCACACCGTATCATTTGGTTCACTTGCCTTCCCTTTAGTTTTCTGACTTCAAGCTGACTTCTAGTACCAAACTGACTTTCTATTCATATTAGCTAGGGGTTTTGGAAGGCAGATGGTGCTTCTTGGTTCCACCTTTAGTAGTTTGGATCACTTTCAGGTATCAGCATTGAGAGACCTAAGAAGGGAGGATCTAAGCCTATTGTGGTGATGCACACCAATAAGCCCAGCACTTGGAAAGTGAAGGAAGGGGGATCAAGACCAGCCTCGACTACACAGTTAGAAGCCAGCTTGGACTAAAGTGAGCCTGCCTAAAAAATAAGAGAGACTCAAGGCTTTGGCCACGTGACTTTGGATAATTTATTCTCAGAACTTCAATTTGCTGCTCTTTACGAGCTAGTTGTAAGTGATGATGGTTACAGTACCCCACACGCAATAAACACGAACCCTTATTACCCCTATGGCGACCAGCATACGAGAGTCGCTGGGGTAATTCAAGAGGCTTGGTCACACCCATCCAAGGGGAGGTGACTCGCACTTGGAGGGCACTCACGCCCGCGACACGCACGGAGCTGCGGACGCTCGGTGAGGTGCGTGCTCTGAACCCGGCAAACTGCAGGAGCGGCCGGCAGAGGCGGGGCTCCAAGGCAACTCCAGGGCTGCCAAAGGCAGGGAGGCCCCGGCCAGTCTCTAACCTTCATCTCCCGCTCAGGTATCATGGCATCCATCTCGTCTCCCATCCTCACAGTTTCCAATTCACCGCCGCTGCCGCTGCAGCCCGCGGCCTTTCCCACACAAGTCAGGCCGCTCGGGCCCCAACTTCCTTTTCTTAGCGCCAGCGGCGCGCGGAAGATGCGCGTTTCCGGCGCGTGTGATGACGTCACCATGTCGGTTTGTGGTGCGCTCCGCGGCAGCCGCGGGCTCCTTAGACGTCGCGCGCTAGCCAATCCACCAGGCCTCATTGGCCAGTTCCGAGCAGGGATTGTGGCCGAGAGGCGCGCGCCGGCGTCCTCCTTCCTTCGGGTGCAGCGCGCCGACACGCTCGCTTTTTAAAGTGTTCTTTGGTGTCGCGGGCGCATGCTTTGTCATCCGAAGACTCTGGGACCTTCCCGGTGGCCCTCAACCTGCAGAGCTGTTAGTAGCTTCCGATTTAGAGAAGTTAGGGACTTTGAAGCTGTTGCCAGGGAAGAGCTTTGAGAGGTTTTGGAAGAGCGGGCAGAAAGGTTCAGTTAGTGGGTGCACTGGCGTGTGCTATTGCAGAACCCTGTTACCCAAAACTGAAAACGGGAAAAAAAAGGACAAAAGACCGATTTTGTTTGTTGTTTTCAAGGTAATCACTTAAGAGCATAAGCCATATTCACATCGCAAAACAATTTGTGCTTAGCCTTGCAATGTCGCCTGAAGGTTTCTAACCGAAACCCAGCTGCGGTGCGTGGCCGTCGTCCCAGCTCTTCGGGGAGGGGACAGTAAGAGGCCAGAGACTCAGGAATTCAGGGTCCTCCTTGGCTACATAACAATCTCTAGATATCCTGGGTTACATAACACACTGTCATTGAAATAAGGAAATTCCACACAAAGCAGTTTAAACTATCCAATATCTTTCAGCCAGGAAGGGTTAAGATTCAAATCTGGATACACTGATTGATGTTGGAGAAATTCCTGGAATAGAACTATAAAAGTAGAATTTCTGGAATAGAATTATGAAAGTAGAGGTTCCTAACGTGGAGCCACTGGGTCAGTTCCAGAGGATACATTATCACATACTCAATAAGTTCTCATGTGCTCCAAGCCCCTATTCATTGTAAAATAATGAAAGAAATGGGAGCTGGGTGTGGTGGCACCCGCCTGTAATCCCAGCACTCAGGGAGGCAGAGGCAGGTGGATCTCTGGGAATTCAAAGCCAGCCTGGTCTACAAAGCCAGTCCAGGACAGCCAAGGCTACACAGAGAAACCTTGTCTGGAAAAACAAAAAAAGTAGAAACAGATTTTGGGCTTGATCAGATGATACTCATTCAGTTGGTACCTCTGTCAGCTAGCTCTTATGAATCTACTGAGCACAGAGCTGTCCCCCAAGAAACACAAAGACACTGATAAATTGGTCTAGTTTATTTCAATCTGCAGGAGACCATATCCCACCCATACACCCACAAGCACACGATAATGCCATTCACCCGAATCTACCTGACAAATGTCTTTTGATTCACAGGGGCAAGGCCATACTTGGCAGTCCCCACGTTGCTGGTTACACCAGTTAGATTTGGTCTTTTTCAAAAATAAGACAGCTGATGTCCCAAGAAAGCTAAGCCCTTAACTAGAGAAGTTAAGAACTCTGGAACCAACAGATACAACTTGAAATACATGCAAACTCCTCCAATCTAAGGATTATTTTTAAGAACATCTTTCCAGGGGTTCATCTACAGACACTGAAGGGACTCACACGGGCCTCTCCCAATTAGAGCCTCTTTCTGTACTTGGCAGAGGTCAGCGGCACACTGCTTTGCTTTCCTTTATGGAGGTGGTGTGTAACCTCAAATTGTGGGCCCACTGAGCCTGATTGGTTCTATCTTTCCCTGTCTCAGAGACTTAGGACACACTGAATGCAGTTCAAGGTCCCAGCCCAGCCTGAGAATGAAAAGAATGAAGGCAGAAGGAATGGAGAAAGAGATGCTAATCTTAAAAAAAAAAAAAAAAAAAAAAAAAAAAGCCAAAGGATGGGGTGAGGGTAGACAGGATTTTATATTTATAGGGAGGAATGCTTGAGTTTAAACTTCAACTAGACTATGCATTTGAAGCAGGTACTTGGGGGAAAAAAAAATCAGCCAGTCATAGCTAAACAATCTCTCTCCTGAACTGAACTGGTTGAGACCAGAGGATTAACTGGAGCTATTCCATGCCCTGTTTGCCTCACTCTCTCAGGCTGCTGTAGAGCCAGCACTCTGGGTATTGAACTGTGGAGTCGCAGGAAAGCCACACTAGCTCAACAGTTCCCAGTCTTTTTCCACTTAGAGTTTTACAGAGGCTCTGCTAACACTCTTGCCAAGTTGTGACCTAGCTGGAGTCCCTGGGACTGGTGTTCAGCCCTTGCTCACCCCATTTCCTAACACTGTCACTGTCTGGGTGTGAGTCCTCAGTGGACATAAATTCCATGCATCAGTCCATTTCACTGCTGGGTTCTGGATTCATGGCATATAGTTGGTGCTTGATAAATATGTTTGATGAAGGTCTGTGTCTTGTCCTAAGTGCCCAGGGTAAAGGATTCCAGACTACAAGCAGGGTCTAGATTGAGGCTCCCACTCAGATAAGATGGGTCACATCTGATACTTCACTTTGTGAATTCATGGAAATGGTCTCTGAGGATCAGTCAAAAAGCTGTAAGGACGAAAAACTGCAAAGGCAGTTTTGGCCCTTACACACATCCCACTGCCAACTTGGAGGCCCTCAGGAGGGTGAGTTCTGACTTAAGGTATTTAAGAGGATGACACCTTCCTCAAGAATTGTGCTGGGAGATAGTCCTCCCCGCCCTTTCCTTTGACCAATGCAGCCTAGAGCACGGTGCACGGCACCTGACCACCTGGGCTTAAGGCCACACTCTCCCATCTCCAGATAAAACCCCTGACCTTCAGCAAGGCACTTAACTCCTGTAAACCAGCAGTAAAATAAGAGGACTGGCCCAGATAAAATCTGCCATGTGACCTCAGTCTAATCCCCAAGCTCCAGGTCCTGAGTGGCTTGGAAAGGGAGCTATGAGATGGACAAAGCACACATCAAGACAAAGCAGGACTTAAAGCTTGTAATGGGACTCCATAAAGGACTGCTGAGTGAACGGAGGGACGAGTCGGGTAGGAAGGCAGATAGCTGCATTTGAGACCTTTCGAAATCAGGCAGCTTGTTGCTCTGTCTGAGGTTCAACATGATCACTTGGCTCCTCTTCTACCCTGGCAATCTCAGCATCTTCCCTGAAAGCAGGACACCCCACACTATCTTCACCTCTGCCTCCAAAGCCCTTTACTGCGTTGGCCCTCTGAGTTGCCTGTACCAACAGGGTCAAGAGAGGAAAGCCAGAAGTTCCTTCCAGTTCCTTTGAAGGACTCCAGTGGCTGTTCTCTCCCTATCCCCCAGCTCCACCTTGTTCCTGAGGATGGACAAAGGCAAGAACCAAAAGGGGAATCAGTTGTGTCTGTGAGGCACTGAGTGGCTGTTGCTAAAAAATCCAGCAACCCTGGAAGCATGAGGCAGTCCTAGGAGCCCTACAGCTTTGTGCCTTCTGTGGAGAGTGGGGAGAGGGGAGAAGTCCACCAGCGCCAAAAGTGAGGCCTGTAGTTAGCTTAGAAACCTAGAGAGATGAGCAGATGGATAGGGTCCTCTTCAAACATAGGAAATGAGGTTTGCAGCCTCCATGCCCTCTCCAGTTTTGGGTTTGATGTCAGCCCTTTTGTATAGGGAGGGCAGGGCAGCAGGAAGCAGAGAGGAGGGGCCCTGAGGCTCAGGATTCCCAGCCTCATCAAAACATGTAACATGCTTACATAGAGAAATGGAAATAGAAAAGAAGATGAGTCCACTAGGACAAAACGCATAAGACAGATCACAGTAGAGGAGGCAGAGATGGCAGAAGGGAGACGCAGGGGCAGGGATGGTGGCCTGGAAGATCCAGGTGGGTCCTCAGGGGAGGCTGGCAATGTCTCTCTCTGGAGGGGGCCCGGCTGGCTTTGGGCTGCTCTCATTGGCTTTTCCTTCAAACATCATGACCCTGGTTTGGAGATGAAAAAAAGAAAACAAAAGGATTAACACTCATCCCCTCACACGGAAAGGTCCCCAGCCTTTACTCTGTAGGGTCTACAACAGAATGGTCCTAGGCTGTTCTGGAAAGAGCCTCGTGATCACACTGGCAGTTGTGTGAAAGCGGCTGGTGGTCCTACTTCACAGAGAAAAAAAAAAATACGGGCACAAAGTAGCAGTGGGGCTCCCCACCTGCTCAGGCAGTCCTAGGTGAAGAAACTACTAACACTAAGACCTCAGACTGTCTGGAGAAGGGTGGGCTGGGCCAGAGGTCTGCTCAAAAACACCATCAGATCTCTTAAAAATTCCCCCACTAACCAGTCATGGTGATGCACATCTTTAATCCCAGCACTTGGGAGGCAGAGGCAGATGGATCTCTGTGAGTTCCAGGCCAGTGTGGTCTTCATAGCAAGTTCCAGGACAGCCAGAGCTACATAACAGAGAGACCCTACCTCAAAAACAGAAAGAAAGGCCCTGTCAACAAAACCCTTCCCCACTGTGCTACAAGTCCAGCCCAGTCTGGGGAGGAGACGATACAAGTTCAAAAATGTAAGCCTTGGGGAGACTGCCTGCAGTGCTGGCCTCCTGCCTCAGAGCTGGCTGACTCAAGCCAAACACTCAATCCCTGCACGTTTATACAAAAATGTGCACACCACAAGCTCCAGCCACACCGAAACACGGGCTCAGGAGCCAGTCCTTGGCCTCTTTGGGCCTCAATGAACACCTTGAATGAGTGTATGCATGTGTGTGAAAGCCAGAAAATAATCTCAGGAAGCATTTCTCAAATGCTGCCTCCATTTTTTTTTTTTAAACTTTGAGAGAGGGTCTCTCGGTGGACTGAGACTTCTGACCAGTGAACACAAGGGTTTCTCCTGCCTCCACCTTCTAAGCACTGGGATACAGGAACGTCCCACCATAGCTTTTAATATGGTTCTGGGAACCAAACTCAGGCCATGCCATTTACTGATTGCCATCTCCCTAGCTGAACAAGCTCCTTCATTAAGTGAGACAGAAGAAGAGTTATCAGAGATCTTGAAGAGTTATCACATGGATGTTTGCCATCAGCTGGGCACCTCATCTCACCAGCCCTCGGGACAATGCTTCTTCATGTGTTGTCATCTCCACTTACAGGGGAAGACAGAGAATCAGCCAGGAGCGGTGGAGCAAACTTGTAACCCTGGCTCACGAGAGAGGAGGCAGGATTCCAAAGCCGAAGGCAGCCTGAGCTATACAGTAAAACACTGCAACACACAGACACATGGACACAGACACACACACACACACACACACACACACACGGACACAGTCACAAACACCAACACACAGACATAATCACACACATGGACACCCACAGAGATACATGGACACAGGCATGCACACACACACAAACTCAATATCCAAAAACTAAAGATAACCTGCCCATTAGTGTCATTAGGAAACAAGTGATAATGTCAGGATTCAAACTAGAGCTGACTTTTTTAGGGAGGGAGGTGGTGAAAGGGGTTTGAGATAGGTCTCATGCAGCCCAGGCTGACCTTAAATTTGCTAGCTAGCTGAAGATAGCCTTGAAACTCCAGTCCTTCCTGCATCTACTGCCTTAGTGCTAAGAATATAGACATGCCCTACCATGCCCAGCTAAAGCTGATTATAGACTGTCTGCTCACAATAACCAGAGGGAGAAGGGATATGATTTATCCATGAGGAAACTGAGGTTCAGAACATGTTGACAGTAGGGATAGGGGCATAGCCCTAGATTAGAGCATTTTCCTACCATGTATGAGGCCCTGGATTCAATTCCAAGCATTTCACACAAAAGGAAGGGAAGGAGGGAGGGAGAAAGGAAAAAAAAGGAAGGGAGGTAAGGAAGGAAAAAAGGGAGGAAGGGAGGGAAGGAAGGAAAAAAGGGAGGAAGTGACCATAGTCAGGTGGGGTATTACATGCCTATTATCTCAGCACTTGGGAAGTTGAGGCAGGGGGATTTCCATGACTTTTGAGGACAGCCTGGGCTACATGGTGTTACCTGTTAGAACACAGGGGTTACCTGTTAGTACACAGTTAAGACCCTGAAGACCCTGTCTCAAAAAACTTAAAATATTAAAAAAAAAAAAAAAAATTTTTTTTTTTAAAAAGACAAACTTGATGCTGCTATCACTTTCGTCATTCGTGAAGCCCCCAATCTTGGGGTTGCCATGCACCCTAATGCAGGCTAATCTCTCTCAGAAAACTCCAATGAGCTGTCCACCCACCGAGGGTGGTCAAGTTGTCCTGAGCCCTGGGCCTCTCCCCACAAGGCAAGGATGTCCTTGCCTTGGAGACCCCGTGAGAGGGGGAGGTACTCACAGCTTGAGGACAGCCGACCGCTTGCCCAGCATCATATTCACAAAGTCTCGGTAGGAGATGGTGTCGCTGACACCCCCTGTCACCTCCGAAATCATCTTCTTCATCTCCAGGTGGGTCTTGGGGACCCCCAGCTTCTCCATCATCCTCTTCAAAGACATCAGATCTGCCAGGAGAAGAGGCAGATCTGTTGAGTGGAGACAGGACACTGAGGCCCTGCAGGGAGCCAGGGAGGCCTCATTCCTGCACACACACCTAACCGTGACCACCTCTCCCTGCAGGCTGCAGCCAGTGAGGATTCTCCTGGAGAGGCAGGGGTGAGCCTTCCTTGTTCTCTTCAGAGGCAGTGAAGGCCGGGAGGTGGGAACCTGGGCTTCTAGAGTCAGACTTGGGCCGGAATCGAGCTTTGCTCTTCTTGACTGGGGATCCTGGGGAAGACTGCTTCCCCTCTCTGGGATGAGGGATGGTACATGTCTATAATGCTAGCAGTTCAAAGGCTGCAGGGAAAGGATCACTGCGAGTTTAGGCCAGCCTGGGCTACATAATGAGGAAGGTCTAGAAAGACAGCTCAGTCAGTAAGGAGCTTGCGGTGTAAGCATGAGGAACTGAGTTCAATGCCGCAGAACCCAAGTAAATATTCAGGTACACTGGCACAAGCCTATAATCATGGGTCTGGGGAGACAGACAAGAGGATCCAAAAGACTCACTGGCCATCCAGCCTAGCCAAATCAATAAGCTCCAGGCCCATAAAATAAAGGGGAGAGCAACTGGGAAGACATCTGATGCTGACCTCAATCCTCTACACAGAGCCATACACAGGCACGCACACACGCACCATCAGTCTGAGGCAAAGAGAAAAAGGAAGAAACGGTTATTAGGCTCATGCAGACATAACAAACGGGATGCTACCCCAGCACGTGCTCTGGGTTAGGGTAAGCCAAGGTGCCTGGGAGTTAGCCTGACCCCAGGCATCGAGAATCGACTTTCTCTGGCACAGCATAGCAGAGACCATTGCTACTTGCCACTTCCATTCTGCTGTTCTAGGGCTCTCCCTAGCCTAGAAGGCAACTGGAGCCAAAAATATCCCTCAGAGCAGGAAAAGCAACAAAAGAAAGAAGTAGGAGAAAAACAAGGGAGGCACCAAAAAGTCACTCCACCCACAAGAGCCTCTGCTTGACCTCTGAGCTCCCACCAACATGTGAGGCTGTTTCCTGGGAACTGTTCACAGAAAACAATGGCTCAGCAAAGCAGGGCGGGCAGGGCCACATGACGGGCTGAGGTGGACAGCACTTGCGCAGGACCTGAAGTTGCTAGACAGTCTGGGCTCTTCTGTGAGCTGGCAGCTTCTGTGGCAAAGCGCACGGGGCTCACACGCTACCCACCACATTTCAAGCTGGCAAGGCTTCTCCTGGAGGACACTTGGCCCTGGCCCACTGTGACTCTCTCATTGGTGAGGGGACCAGATCCAGCTAGAGCGATCAATAACAGCTAAAAGGAAAAATTGTAGGCTGGCAAGGTAGCTCAACAAGATGGGTAAAGGTGCCTACTGCCAAGCCTGAGGCACTGAGTTTGATCACTGGAGCCAACGTGGTAGAAGGAGGACTCCCGCAAGTTGTCCTCTGACTGTGAAACGCATAGCCCCTTCTCATAAGCAAATAAAAAAAAGAATATAATTTAACTTTTTCTTTCTTTTGAAACAAGGTTTCTCTGTGTAGCTCTAGCTGTCCTGGAATTTGCTCTGTAGACCAAACTCAGAGACCCGCCCGCCTCTGCCTCCCTGAGTGCTGGCACTAAAGGCGTGCGCCACCACCGCAGAGCCAACCTTCAGAGCTAGTTAGTTATCCTGCGGTGGTCATGCATGCCTGTAGTCCCAGCACTGAGAAGGCTGAGGAAGGAGTGCTTGGGGCCATGCTGAGCTACATAGTGAATTCTAGGTCAACCTTGGCCAGAAAAACAAAACAAAAACAAAAACAAAACCTGCTGAAGATATAGCTCCGTTGGTAGAGTGTTTGCCTAGCACGTATGCAGCCCTGGGTTCCATCCCATGCCCTGTATAAAGTGAGCATGGTGGCACACACCTGCAATCCCCACAGCTGTGAGACAGGAGGATATAACATTCACAGTCAATCCTCAGCTACATACTTAGTTACAGGCCAGCCTGGGCTACCAGGAGACCTGTCTCAAAACAAAAACATGAAATCATCTAAAACCTAAAATTCTACGTAGTAGCGATTGAGGTGCTGGCTGAATGCATTTGAATCCATTCATGCAATGGAACAAGTACCAGAGGACCTGTTCAGAAGCAAACACTGGGCCTGAGCCCACACCTCAACATGAGGAGCCTGACCAATCCTTCCACTTCTATGAGTCTTGGTTTTCCATCTGCAAACTGAGAGTGACTGGGCAGCTGGACCGTGGCCCAGTCCTGCTGGTGACTCCAAACTCCAGTTTCCTCCTCTGGGGCCTTTGTGCCTTTGTCAGCCCAGCACCTTGATGTCAGGAAGCTATGGGGTCTGCTGGAGGTGAGAGGCAGTGTCTACACTCCTTGTCCCTGCAGGACAGCAGTGGACAGCAGGGACAGCAGCGAGCACAAAACAGCCCCCTGGTCCAGGAGTCAGGCAGCCGCTGCAGGTCTGGTGGTAAGGGAGCTCTAGGCTCTGGGGCAGGAGGCTGAGGACTCTACCTGTGAGGCACAGCAAGAGATTCCCAGGCAGTGGAGCTGGGCCAAGAGACAGACGGACCCAGGGTGGCCTTGGCTTGAGGCAGAATAAGAAAGATAGAAGGTGAAGGGGTGTGGGCAGGAGAGGAGCTCCTGGCCCTGGGAGTATATGCCTTAAGTCTCTTACTGGCAAAGAGTCAATCTCAACCCAACTGACAAAAATAAAATAAAATGCTGTGAAGACTGCCTCTCAGGCAGTATTCCCGTCCCTCAGAGATTGCTGACAAGAGCCACAGAACAGCTTGCCAGCTGTGCTAGCAGCCAGAATGGGTGTGACCCCTGAAGTTATCCTCACCAGCACACCCTGTTGTCTGTTGTGAGAAAAACCGCCCAGATGAGACCATGTGCCCTGCTTACATTGGGAACAAGTCTTGACCTCCTAGTGACCTGTGTATGGTTGAGAATTCCATTGACCTTTGGGAGCTACAATTTTATCTTTTAGGCCATTAAGTCTGTAGACCATACACTATAAAATCTCACTTACGGAAAGACAAATCCTTCAGATAAGAAGTATGCAAAAACGCTTTTACTTAATCCTTTAAACTTAGACATTAATTATGCCCTCCGTAAACCACCAGAGTCATACAGAGAGCTATTGTTAAGCTACTCAAACCTAGACCTCTCTCGGCAGTTCTTGCTTTGTATGTCTCTCTCTCTTCCTCCCCTGCCTCTCTCTTTCTCCGCATCTTCCATACTGTCCTTTTTTCTTTCTATTTTTATTGTAATTTTTAAGACTATGTGTATATGTGTCTGTGCACATGAGCCCAGTGCCCAGAGGCCATCAGAATGTGCCAGATGTCCAGAAGCTGGAGTTACAGTTGTTTGTAAGCTACGGATATGGGTGCTGGGACCAAACTTAGGTTCTCTGCAAGAACAGTACACACTTTTAACTGCTAAGCCATTTCTCTAGCCCTTCCTATTTGTTTATTTGTTTGTTCCTTCCTTCCCTCATTCCATTCCCTCATTTGTCCGTTCGTTCATTCATTCGTTTGGTTTTTCAAGACAGGGTGTCTCTGTTTAGCACTGGCTGTCCTAAAACTTGCTCTTATAGACCAGGCTGGCCTCAAATTCAGAGATCTACCTGCCTTTGCCTCCTGAGTGCTGGGATTAAAGCATACACCGCCACCACCCAGCTAAAAAAATTTTTAGCTGATGTATTTATTTTTATGTGCACTGTGTGTACAGCGCCTCAGAGGCCAGAAGAGGATGCTAGATCCTTCGGAGCTAGTTATTAGGGGTTGTGAGCTGCTATGTAGGTGCTAGAAAAATTAATCCAGGGTGTCTGCAAGAGCAGCATGTGCCCTTAATCAGGGAGCCACCCCTCCTGTCGCCCTTTTTATTTTATTTAGCGCTTTTTTTTTTTTTTAAGGCAGAGTTTCTCTGTGTAGCTTTAGCTGTTGTCAAACTCACAGAGATGCATCTGCCTCTGCCTCCCTGAGTGCTGTGATTACAGGCGTGTGCCACCAAGCCTGGCTTCCCGTTTTTATTTTTTAATAAAATAAATTTGGAGTTTATTAAAAGGTTTTAACATGGATTCAAACACAGGCATTAAGAGAGGTGGGTGGGGCTGGAGAGATGGCTCAGTGGTTAAGAACACTGGCTGTTCTTCCAAAGGTCCTGAGTTCAATTCCCAGTAACCACATGATGGTTCATAACCATCTATAGTGAAATCTGGTGCACTCTCTGACCTGCTAGCTCGCATGCAGGCAGAATACTGTATAAATAGAAAGAGAGAGAGAGAGAGGGAGAGAGAGAAGTGGGTGATGTCTGGAGACATATCTACAAGCAGGCAAATCTCTGGACTTGCAGAACTACATAGCAAAACTCTATCTCAAAAAAAAAAAAAAAAAAAGGGACGGAGGGAGGAAGGAAAGAAGGAAAAGGGCCATGACTGGCATGATAGCTCTGTAGGTGAAGGAGCCTGCTACCAAGTCTGAAAACCTGTCTGATCCCAAAACCCCAGAAGAGATCAGATTCTTGCACATTGTCCTGACACACGACACACATACACACTTATTATATACACACTTAGACACACACTTACACACCACACGCACACATACACACACATACTCTAAATACACCACATGAGTAAATGATCCACTCATTCTGAAATTTTCTTTTGCTATGTGAATCGAGAACCCAGCACCCCCTCAGTGGAAGTCTCTGACAAGAATCCAGTATTGCCCTGTGTCTCCTGCTGCTGTTGGCCACAGGTCCCATCAGGGCGGTATCGGTGTTCTTCAGCTTCACCCAGTGCCCGTCACCAGACCAGCAGGGTTCTCTGGATCCCAAATCTCCTACCCATCTTCCTCCTCTGCCAGGGTCTCACTCACCAATTTCACCTTCATTGTTCAGGTCAAACTCCATGTATTTCTCTGGAAATCACAAGCAAAAATTGCCATTAGCATGGAAGCCACAAGTCTTCCTGCAGAGCCCTTGACACCCGTCCCCAGCCCAGGAATCCAGTCATCTTAGCTGTCGTCTCTGGAAGAGCCAAAAACATTCCCTGAAACCAGGTAGGCAAGAATCAGTGATGAGGAAAACAATAGCGTATGATGCGCTGTCAGCCTCGGTGTTAAAAAATGACAGTGGCTCCAGCCTGGTTGTTCCAACAGCACCAGGGCACACACCCTCCCACCCAACACAGGCAAAAGACCCATATTGCTGTATTGTGGTGTTGATACTAACCTCTCTGGTGGGATTTTCTAGAGGACCATGGGAAGCTCCCCTAAAAAGGAGATCTGATCCACCATGATTTGGCTCACCTTCCTCCATGAATGTGCCACACACCTCATAAATATTGACAAAAACGTCTGTACAGTCTACAGAGCAAAAGCTCACTCCAATCTCTGAACCTTTGCTTTGCTTCACCTTGATAAAACAACTTCTGCCTAAACTGTCTACATCTCTTGACTGAATTATTTTCATGTGTGTATGTGTGCATGATGTGTGTGGCTAGGCATGCATGTGTGTAAAGTCCAGAGGACCTCTTTGTGACATCAATTCTCTCCTTCTACCTTTTCATAGGTTTGGGGAATCGAACTCAGGCGATTGGGGTTCTGCGACCAATGCTTTTATCTGCTGAGCCATCTTGCCGTTACTGGATTGAATTCATTCAAAAAGAACCAATATCTACAATATTCCTGCTTGCACCACTGTCCTCCAGGTGCCCTGAAGGGCACTGGGCTGTCCGACCCTGCTAGGAGGAAGGCGGCCTCCTTAGAGTAGGCCACAAAGTGATTGAAACAAACTATGCCCTTGGAGACTTGGACTTAGGGGGTAAAGAGGGTGATGGGATAGATCTTAGGGTGTCTTCAAGTCTCCCAAAAGGTACTGATGGACAGCTACCATGGAAAGCCTGGCTCTGAAACTAAAAGGACCCAAGGCCTGCCCTAGTTCAGTAGTGCATTTGGAGACCTTCCCCAAACCCTGCTGACTGAGCCAACGGGTCTAGGGAACCACTAAGGAAAGACGGTGGGAGCCACCAGCTTGTTGTCTTCTGACCAGGATTGAACACCAGCAAGCTCTTGTGTAGCTTTGGACATGTCACCCTACCTCAGCAGAGCAGGCCTTCCTGGTCTATTCTGTACCACAGAGCAACCAGAACGAAAGGTAGCCTGTTCCCCTCCATCCTGCCTGATGGTCCCTCAGCCTGGAGTGTCCTCTCAGGTACGCTCAGGTCCCCTCAGGTCTTCACCTTCCCCTGGGCACCTACACCCTGCTGACTTGGGCTTCTCCTTTCTCGGTGCCCACCCCTGCCCCTGTGCACCCATGCATCCACGCATTGCTCAGGTCTTGTCCCATGAGGTTCCCCAGGCCTGCAATGGGCCTGGTGCCCAGCAAGCGCCAACTGCAGAGCGGAGGAATGAACGGCTTGAGGGCCTTTGGAGCTCTCCCTTTCCCACAGGGCTATGCTTCACTTGGAGTTCCTGTGCAACAAACGCAACCTGACCTCAATGAAAATGTGACTTCAGACCCCACGATCCCGCTTTCCTTCCCAGAGCCCCCCATGAGGAGTGGGCACCCCCCCCAGTGTCTTCATACCTCTCCTGAAGGCTTGCCTTGCTCCCCACTCCATGAACAAAAACAAAACCACAACCATATATATACCTAGGTTGAGACCTGGGGCTCTGGGGACAGACTGACAAGGGTTCAAGTCTCAACTCTGCCCCCTCTCTGACCCCTCCGTCAATAATCCTGCCTCCCCAAACCTGAGTTTGCTGGTCTGTAAATGAAGTTTTACCATCTGCCTCCTAAGGGTGGGGAAAGGGGGTCAGCAGAGCATGCCAGCTGTTGCCGAACAAAGCTTTACACGGGCTGACGCTCAGCACCTGCTGGTCATTTTTAATATTACTGCCATCTAAGTCCTGGCCAAGACAACTATGCTGTGAGCCAGATGAGGCTGGCAGGCCATGCTGGCAGGTACCTGGCCTTGGAATGGGAAGGATGCCCACACTGCAAACACTTGGGAGAGGGATGGGACCTCTGGGATATCCTCGGGGGAGTCCAGGGTTCCCATCCCCCAAGTGTATCCCAGAGTCAGGAAAGGTGGGTCTGCCCGCTCTGTGTGTGCCCAGGCTCCTCTCCTTTCGAACCACTGGCAGAGGACCAAGCGCCAGGGCCCCGAACAGAGAAACCTTTATACTGCCCCTCTCCCTACGCAGGCTCCTGAGTCCTGTTTTCTTTTCATCCCGTACTGTTGGGATTCAATGGGCAGAAACTCTGCCCCCCTGCCCCACTGTAGCAACACAAATGTCTATTCTCCACAGGGGCTCCTGAGAGGCTCCATCAGGGAGGGGGAGATTCAAGGACTGCTCACAAAGGGAAGATTGTGTGCCGGGGCCCTGGGAGTGTGCAGGGCCTGGATGGGGAGAACAGGAGCCAACCTGAGCCACACTGGGCAGCCGTGGGACAGAGGGACAGGGCCAGACCAGGCCTGCAGCCAAGGGCCCACAGTGGAACAGGAAGGGGAAAGGGCCTGCCTCTTTGGGGGACCCCTGTCTCAAAGCCTGATGGGAAGTGAGGCATTCTGGATGAATCAGAGCTGCAGCCCCATACTTGGGGCCAAGGAGTCCTATGTGCCGTGGGCCAAGGGAGCAGCCAGCTCCTCTGGGGGCTGTTGGCAGGCAACCCTGGCTCACCTTTGAAGGCTGCGAGCTTTTCCGGCAGGTTCTCTTCATCGCTGTACTTCTGGTCACAGAGGAACTCCTACAGAGGTGGGACCACAGTACTGAGACAGGGTTGGGGGCAAAGGTCACCTATAAGCAACCCCAGGCAGGGTTCACCCCAGCTTCCCATCAACCTTCAGGGCAGATTCACACAGCCTGGTGGTTTTCTGCAGCTTGGGGACAGGGCTTACCAGAGGATCTATGCCAGGGAACTGAACACCTTCAGAAATGTGCCCTATGCTGTCCCCAGGATGCCTAGCTCCCAGGATCTGGGAAGCTGTGAGCTCCAGAGACCGCTACCAATTCTGTCGTTAACTCCTTAGGTCTGTGGTCCTCAGCAAATGACCTCTCTCTGTGCAGTGGACCATTCCTTTCCCTACCAGGTGAGCACCAAGGCTGAACTACTCCTGAAGTCAGAAGGGATGACTTAAGAGCCACGAATGGCTTTTGCAATGTTCCCCTCGGCTCTGGCCAGAAAATGACTAAACGTAATGTCAGTGAAACGAGGCTTAAGCCCTGGTGTGCTTTCCTTCACAAGGTACAGAAGACAAATATTTGAGTGCTTTCAGGACCAGATGGATATTCTGGACAGCTATGGGAAATATCCAAATATCGGTAGCCTTTGGTGGATCTCAGGCACGCTGTCCTCTTTCCAGATGTCCCAGCAGGCTCAGGAAGTACCCGCTACTACCGTGTCTGTTTGCCGTCTGAGGAAACGGATGCTCATATGGTAAGAAATCCTACTGCGCTCTCCTGTACTTAAGCCACTTTAAACCACAGCCCAGAGAGAAGCAGAGTTTGGGAGTTCTTCAGTCCTGCTCTCTCATTCCCACGCTTGGGCGCTAAGGCAGGAGGATGGCAAATTCAAGGCCAACTTGGGCTATGTATCAAGAGTCTGACTCAAAACAGCAACAACATGGGGCTGGAGAGATGGCCCAGCGGTTAAGAGCACTGACTGCTCTTTCAGAGGACCTGGGCTCAGTTCCCTGAACATACATGGCGTCTAACAGCTGTCTGTGACTTCAAGACCTGACACCTTCATATAGAAATACATACAGGCAAACACCAATGCACGTAAAATAAAAATAATTATTAAAAAAAATTTTTTTAAATAACAACAGGGGCTGGAGAGATGGTTCAGCAATTAACAGTACTGCCTATCCCCGAGGAGGTTACGGATTCGGTTCCCCGCACCCACATGGCAGCTCACACCCACCTATAATTCCAGTTCTAGTCAGTCTGATACCCTCTTCTGCCTCAGTGGGTACTGAGACATGCACATGGTACACAGACATATATGTGACCAAAACACTCATACACATAGAATAGAAATAAATCTTTAGGAACAACAACAAAAATCATGTTATGAGTGCGTGTGCCCACCAGGGGTAGCATCAAGATGCCCTGGTTCACCTTCACTCAGCTCGTCACAAGCGAGGCACCAGACACAGCAGTAATATTCCCATCCAACTGTTTGGACTCTGTTTAGTCCCTGCCAGCTGCTCGAGGCACCACATTTATCCATTCACCATGTATTCGCTGGGCATTTCCTCAGGGACCACAGCCTGAACGCATCCTGCCATACACTTTGGCATCGGGCAGCAGTGAAATACGTTGGACAAAGTCAAGTTCCCATCCTACAAAGGCAGAGTCCACTCGGTTAAGGGGACTGAGGAGATGGCTCAGTTGGTAAAGAGTTTGCCGCACCAGCATGGGGACCCGAGTCCAACCCCCAGGACCGAGTCCGGAGCCAGGGAGGACAACACGCATGTGTGATGCCGACACTTGGCGCAGTAACGGGAGGAGGATCTCTGGGGCTTGGTGGCCGGTCAGCCTAGCTGGATTGCGGGGCCCCAAGTCTCAAATGGACCAAATAGACAGCTCCTAAGGAACAGCTCCAGAGCAACATTGACCTCTGGCCTCTACACACATGCAGGCACACACATAACCAATAACACAGAGATAAAATGTCCCCACCAACCTGTTTCTCAGTCCCTGACGTCATTTTCCTGCTAAATGACAGCAACCTGTCCACGCACATCTGGAGAGCTTGCTTCCGCTTCAGCCCACAGGATGGCACTACCTAAGTGACCTCTGTCTGACCCTTCTGAGGTTCAGATTCCACCTGCTGTGACTCCCTCCCGGGGCTTGTGAGGGGTCATCTGGCTGAGCCTCCACTGAGGCCAGCGCTGTTATTACACTGGCCCAGCCACTCACATTCTGATTTGACAGGTTGGAACTCAGCCAGGGGCCTCACAGGAGACGTCTAGTCCACACACACTGGGGGAGCACAGGGAGGATTTTAAGTGATTCTAGGACCAGCCCCAGGACCCAGCTGGCTCCCCCAGCTTCCACCTAGCTGGAGCTGTCCCCTTCTTCCTGAGGAGCTGGAAGGCTGTCCCCTTCCTGCTGGCTCTGTGGAGAGTGGCCCTTCCTCTGGGCTCCCTCTCGTGGCTCTTTGCCAAGTCCCCTCACCCCATTACCATACCAAAAGTGGGACAACTCATACTTGCCGGTGACCCCGGCAAGGCAAGTACCTCCCAGAGGGTCACGTTAGGTCAGTGGCTTTTGACTTTGGGGGCAGGGAAGACAGAGGATTTTAAAAGGGGGAAGGGCCCTAATTAGGTCCACCAAGTTTCTCCTTTGCTAATTAAAAGCTTTTTAAACAATGACCGTGGACAGTTACCGTGAATACAGAGTTAATCAGTTCTAAATTTTAACACGGCATCTACTCAGCCCATGTCCAACTCACTGTGTCTCCGTGTCTTGCCCTCATCACCAGTGCCTAGGAAGCCTTACGCAGAGGGGTGCTCACAAAAGTACTTGCAAGGGGATGAGGAGACACGTTGTGCTTGCCACACAAACTTGAAGGCCTGAGTTGAATCCCCAGCATCCGTGTAAAAACCAGGCGTAGAGGCACATGCCTGTCATCTCAGTGCTGGGGTGGTAGAGACAGGAGAATCCCTGGGGCTCACTGGCTAGCCAAGCTGACCAAACCCATGAGCTCCAGTGAGAGAGCCTGTCTCAAAAAATAAGGGGAAAGCCAGGCATGGCAGGGCACACCTTTAATCCCAGCACTCAGGAGGCAGGTGGGTCTCTGTGAGGCCAGTTTGGTCTACGTAGGACAGCCAGAGCTACATAGTGAGACCCTGTCTCAGATGACAGACAGACAGACAGACATGGCAGAGGAGGGTGGTTAATGAAGATACTCAATATTCCCCCTTTTGGCTCCCATATGTGTACATGTGCATACACACCTACACACACACACACACACACACACACACACACACACACACACACACA